TGCCCTACGTCTTAGAATGTCCATCTCTTGTAAGTTTCCCTTGTGTATTGTTGTTGGTTTTTACTAGAGGGTTTACAGCCCTTGCAACTACATAAGGTTACATGTGCACGTGTGTGTTGATGTTTCTGCAGAGCCTAACACATTCCCTGACAAGAACGTGTGGTTGTTCAACATCACAGCTGACCCGACCGAGCACCACGACTTGTCTGACCAGATGCCGGGCACGGTCCGGACCCTCCTGGGATATCTACAACGGTTTAACCAGCACGCCGTGCCTGCAGTGTACCCTCCCCTAGACAAGAACAGTAACCCAGCGTTGCGCGGGGGAGTTTGGGGGCCGTGGCAGTAGTTCCCCTTGACAATTCCCTCTTTTACTTTCTTTATTTGTGAGGCAGCGTGGTAGAATCAGGCTCTCGTCAATTTTTGGACATGTAGAGTTATTGGTACCATCTTAAAACTTGTTCACTTGTCTTTGTTTGGATAAAAAAAATATCCATTTATCTTGAATGCAAGTCGAGATATTTGAGAATGAAGGTGGGAGCCACCTGTTTTCAGAGGTAAAATTAGTGAGAAAATGGCCGCCAGAGATTAGTTATTTCCTTAGCTTAAGAGTCCATTTTAACTGAAAATTTACATTTTTTAAAGCCCTTAATCAACGTTTTTAAAAAAAATCCACGTAGAAATGAGTCCTTCAATGGGTATGAAAGTTGTTGGGCCAAAAAACAAAAATGTGATAAAAATTCACAAATCTGTGGAAAAATGCAAGTTTCTTCACTTTGATTATTTTGACGAGAGCCTGATTCCACCACGATGCCTCACATTTGTTCCCCTTGACAATTCCCTGTTTTACTTTCTTCATTACTTGTTGCCTTTGCTGTGGAAAAGTTGACCGGCAACGCCATGCTTTTTTGGTTGTAGATCTACACATCAGAGTGCCTTGCTCGAAAGTGGGTGTTTCAGAAAAACCTGTGTGCAAATCAAAGTGCGGATACTACATTTGTTGTGTGTGCAAAGTCTGTCAATAAACTCTGTTATATACCAGTTCCTGGTGTGGGTTTTTTGTATTGTTTTGACCATACTGGACTATTTTTGAGAAATCAAGAGGACCAGCTTTCTTCATTCACCTCATCTCCCATCTCCCCCCCCCCTTTCTACTACT